CTTTGCTCATTCCTTTTTAGCCTTTTTTCTCTAAACTTGTCTTCTCATTTTATTTCATTAAGTTGGTCTTCGACCTCTGATATCCTTTCTTCTGCTTGATCAATTCGACTGTTAAAAGTTGTGCATACTTCGCGAAGTTCTCGTGTTGTGTTTTTCAGCTCTATCAATTCACTTATATTCCTCTCTCAATTGTCTATTCTCGTTAGTCAAACCTTTTTTCAAGATTCTTAGTTTCGGTGCATTGGGTTAGAACATGTTCTCTTAGCTCACAGAAGTTTCTTATTATCCACCTTCTGAAGCCTGTTTCTGTCAATTCATCACACTCATTCTCCATCAGGCCTTGTTCCCTTGCTGATGAGGAGCTGCAATCCCCTGTAGGAGAAGAGACACTCTGATTTTGGGTACAGGTATTGATCGACTTACCACCTATGCAACTTACGACCATTCTACTTTACGACCACAATTGCTAGCCACTACTGCTTCGCGTCTGGCAGCGCAAACGTTGCTCGGCTGGGCGTACGACAGTGCGGACCAGCTTCTGGCAGCACTACCATCTCCACGTGTACCATTTCAACTGTACATATAGCCTACTCAACTTACGACCAAATCGTGTTACGACCGGTCCGCGGTCCCGACCGTGGTCGTAAGTCGAGCACTAGCTGTATTTTCAGCCTTTTTGTGCTGGCTTCTTCCCATCTTTGTGGATTTACCCACTCGTCGTCTTTATAATTGCCGACTTTCAGATTGGGTCTCTGAGTGGACGTCCAGCTTGTTGGTGATGAAGTTTTTTCTTTTTCTTAGTTTTCCTTTGGCAGATACCCCCCCGCCCCCCCCCACCCCCCACAGAGCTGGACCTTCCCGGGTTCAGCTGTGCTTGCTGTAAAACTCTCAACCCTCAGCACTTCCAATTGCTGTTTTTTTGTGGGGGCACTGTGCCAGCTGAAACTGTGGTGCTGAGATTCGTGGTGCTTTTCTGCCCAGGAATCTCCCTATCTGGCTCCCTGCTTCAGTCCCACCTTCAATCACTGAATGGGCGACTGCCTTCCTGGAGCTCCAAATGCCAACTAAAAGGGCACTCAGTCCCGCATACTCCATACTGAGAACCGCCATGCTGGGGCGCTGACAAAACAGCTGTGCCAGCCAAAACAGTTGTGCTGGCGACCCGTGGGGCTCCTTCACTGGGAATCTCCTGGTCAGTGGGCAACAAAAATTTGTCTGGAAGTGTGGCGTCCACTCACTCCCTGTGCCTTCACTGGGAGCTGCAATCCTGAGCTGCTGCTAATCAGCCATCTTGGATGTCTCTCCTCGGGAGGCTGGCTTTCTTCTGAAAGATTTGGGGAGCCCCTGATGGGTTTTCAGAGGCAGAGGCAGGCAGGACAAGTGGCATGGCCTGGAAGGCTATTAGGAAAAATAGTGCCACAAAAGGCCCTTTTGGAGTGTGGGAAACACAAACAGCCTCAGACCCTCCTTCTACCCATATGGAAAGAATGAGGGGTGTTGGGGTGCTGGGGATCAGGGGCTGAGGACTCAGGATGTGGGCTGGGGTGAGGAGCAGGCAGCTTGGAGTTCAGGGAGGAGCCCAAGATCCAGCTTCCAGCAGCTCTGGCGCAGGCTGCTGAGGTCCTGAGCACCCTGGAGGTTCAGAGGGGAGGGAGCCTGAACTCACAGCTAGGGCTGGACTAGGCAGAGGGGCTTGGGGAACAAGGGAAGGGGAGTTGGTTCCCATTTCCCAGGGTAGAGGTCAGAGGTGGAGTTGGGTAGGGCAGGACCCTAAGGGCATGACCTAGGAGCCACTTCCTCTTTCCCACAGTGTGGAGTGATGTCAGTCCTGAACCCACCCTACTCCATCCCTGCCTTATAGCAGGCAAGCCTTGGCCAGGGGCTGTGGGAGACAGAGGCTCAAGGACAAAAGCCTCTGCCCTTTACCCCCATTCTTGCCACAGCCTGGGAGGGGAAAGACCAAAGTGAGTCAGAAAAACAGCTCCTCAGCCTGGTGGCCCCACCTAAGCCCCATCCTTAACTGGAAGTCAAATCCCAACCCAGCTTTAGCGTCACACTTAAGCCTCAGCACACACACCCCCATCATAAACCTGGCCCAGCCACACCTCCAATCTCTGCTGCAAACTCGACTCCAATCCCAGTCTTGCCAATGATCCCTGACCTAGCCCCAAACCAGCCTCCACATCAGTTAGAAGCACCACATCAGCCCAATCTGGACTGCGCCCTTGGCCCCACACCAAACTCTAATTTACCGCAGCCCAAACTCAGCTCCATCTCAACCCGACCCTCATACGAACCTACATTAGTGCCGCCCTGATGGATCCCAAATCCCAACCCCACTCCAGTCCCCACAAGCCCCAGCTCCAGTCTAGCATGGACCTCGGCCACACTCCAGAACCTCTGGTGCTCATCCCCACCCCAGCCTTGGAAACTCCTGCTCCTCACCTTCCCCCAAGCTCCCTCCCTCAACCTCCTGTTGCTCAGCATCCAGGCCCCATGACCGACCCTCAGCCCCATTCCTTCCCCTAACCCCACTCACTCCCATGCCCACTCCTGTGCTCACTGCCACCTGCACTCAGCCAGGGGGCCTCTATGTTGCTGACCTTGGTGGGCACACACACATGTCCAGGCACATACACACATCTCAGCACACAGATACACCTCAGTGTATACACACCCCTCGGCACACACACACGCACAACACAGCAGATGCACTCAGCTCAGCATACATAAACACATCTCAGTGCACATACACACCCCTCAGTGCACATACACACACCTCAGTGCACATACACACACTAGCATACACACACACCCCTCAGTGCACATACACACACACCCCTCAGTGCACATACACACACCTCAGTGCACATACACACACTAGCATACGTACACATCCCTCACTACACATACACACACACCCACATCAGTGTACATACACAGCAGACACACACACCTCATGGCACATACACACACAAGCACACACACACCTCAATGCACACACACACCTCAGGGCACATACATGAGCACATGCACACCTCAACACACATACACAAGCACACACACACCTCGATGCACATACACAGCACACACACAGTGCACATACATAGAAGACACACACCTCAGTGCATGTAATATGAGTATACACACACACTTCAGTGCACATACACACACATCACACACACCTCAGTGCACATACACAGCAGACACACACACCTCAGTGCACATACACATCAGCAGACACACACCCACAAACACACACTCCTGTGTATATACACACACTGGCAATACACACCTTGATGTATATATGCACACCTCCTTGCACAGACACAAATACTTTGCTGACCTTGGTGGGCACACATACATGTCCAGGCACATACACACCCCTCAGCACACACACACACACACACACACACACACACACACACACCTCAGCATATATACAAATACACTCCTCAGTGTACATACATGCCTCAGCACACACACCTGCAGCACATGCACACATACATACACACCTTGGGCTACACACACCTGACAGGGTATGTACAGACACCTTGGCATACACAGACATACACATCTCTGCAGACACACCCCCAACACACACACACACACACACACACACACACACACACACACTCACCAGAAAGGTGTGGGAAATCCAGTGCAGCTGTGAGGACTGCCCTGGGAGCTGGGCCAGGAGCTCCCTGCCCCTCCCTGAGGGCCGTGTCCCTGCAGCTTCCTCCTCGTCAGGCCCTGCTCTCTCCAATTCCCTCTTCAGTGTTGACTCTCCCCACCCAGGAATTCCTGTCCAACCTCCTGCCCTAGGGCTGTCCTGGCTTCAGGCCAGGTTGACTGAATAGAGAGATGACATCCCAGGGCTACCCTTTCTCTGGTGTCCTGGGGAATTCCTGCTCACAGCAGCACATGGTGAATGCACGCTGTGCTGGGGGTGCAGTCTGAATGGGGTCAGAGCCTAGAGGGGCACAGGCACACACAAGCAATTCCAGTGTCACCTTTCAAAAGCTGTGGAAGGGGATGGCACCTGCAGGGGCAAGGGGAGCAGTAAGGTGGGGGAGGAGCTCACTCAAGGACACCCTGAAACTGTAGGGCAGGCTGAACGGGATGGGGACTGGCACAGGATGGGGACAGCCTGTGGCTCAGACAAGCAGGAGGTCACCAGAGGGGCCAGGGAAGACCAGGAGCTGCTGTGGCTGCTAAAAATAATAAGGAATGGACCACTGCTGAGCACCTTCTGTGTGCCAGGCATTGAGTGAAGTGTTTTAAAAACCTTACTTAATTCTCAAAACAATAACATCTATCCTACACCTACCCCACAAGGTAGGTATTATTTTTGGTCCCCACAGGGGACACAAGGGACAACGAGACTCAGAGAGGGGAAAGCATTGGCCCAAATTCACACGCCTCACAACTGGGCAGTGGGTGGAACTGAACCCAGGCAGTGCAGAGAGAGGGCTTCCTTAAAGCTGCAGCAATCACAGCAGCCCCTGACTTGCCCTGCAGCCTCCCCATCCCCCAGGCGGAATTTCCCACATTGCCCTGAATATTTCAGGACTGTCTCACCTCCTGGCTGTCCCTGCGGCATGAAATGGCCTTCTGCCCTCAGCCCCTTCTCTGAGAAAACTTCCACCCATTCTCCAGAGCTCAGCCCCCATTGCAGCCCGGTCACCCACCCTAATCACCCGCGATTCACTGTCTGTGGCTGGGCCTTCCTCCTCAAGGGCAGGGTCTGTGGACCCTATACCAGCATAGGGCAGTCGTGAGTGAATGTACCTGGTTGGCAAATGAATGCAGGACCCAGCCCGGCTGTGGGTCAAAGTGGGTGCTCAGGGAGGGGCTGGGGCTCCCCTCCCAGGCTCTTATCTCCCAGGGCTCTCTCCAGCCTTATCTGATAAGGCCTGACAGGTGAGCAGATGAGACTGACAAAGGCTTCCGGGTTACTCAGTAACCTGCCCTCTTTAAAAGTCCCGATGTTTCACTCTGGCATCCATAACAGCCACCCCTCTCTTGAACCCTGCAGCCATGAACGCCCTCCTGCTCTCCGCACTGTGCCTCCTCGGGGCTGGGGCTGCCCTGGCAGGAGGGGTCACCGTGCAGGTGAGTCCTGTGTCCCACTCTGTCCCAGCTGGCTTCCTGCCCTTCGTGCCCAGGGCTGGTCCCCTGAGAGAGCACCCCCTCTTTGGGGCTGGATTGAGGGTGTGTGTCCGAGGCTCGGCCTTCTTCAAGGAGCTCCTGCTCAGTCCTGCCACACACACCCTTCCCTTCAACTTTGGAGGAGAAAGAACCCCAGTGGAGGGAAGAGGAATAACCATATGGGGAAGGTGGGGAGTTGGCCAGTTTACTGAGTGTCCCCAGCCCCTCACTGTGGCCCCAACATCAACCTAGAAGGGAGGGATTATTAGTTCCATTTTACAGAGGGGAAAACTGAGCCTCACAGAGGCTCTGTAACAAACCATGGGCAGATGGCCGTGGGAAGTGCAGGAGATGGATTTAAATCCAGACCTTACTCCTCGGTTCCATGCTCAGCCAAAGCACCTCTGGATCCCAAGAACCACATGGACTCCCTGGAGGTCCTGACAGACGGGTATGCCTACCAGTGCCAGTGCTGGCGACAGGCCAGGCTGGCACCCAGCAGGGCCCTGCTTTCTATCAAAGCCAGATTCCTGGAGGCCTTTTATTGCTTCTCAAACAAAAACCAGGCTGCAGGCTGGAGCTGGGGGCCCAGTGATCAACCGTACTGCTCGCAGGCTGGGGAAGGACAGACTGGGCTTGGCCACGTGGAGCTACGACGCCTGGGTGCTGGTCCTTTTGCTTTCCCTAAAAATCAGCACACTGTCTCCTACTCATTAGGCACCTATGGTGTTTCTGGCGCTCCGCACCCATTTTCTCCATTCCCCATACAACATGCAGACTTGCGGGTTCCAGAGTGCCCAACGTCACAGAGCAAAGCCAGGGCGTGGGCCCTGAGCTCTGCCCCTCACAGTGCCCCGCAGTGGGCCGCCTGGCTCCCATATGCCACAGCACTGCTCGCGAGCACCACTGGGCTGGTCTGGGGCCAGCTCAGGGGGCACAGCCAGGAGGCAGGCTGCAGCCTGGCCTCACGCTCTGGGCTTGTCTCTTCCAGGATGGAAATTTCTCCTTTTCTCTGGAGTCAGTGAAGAAGCTCAAAGGCCTCCAGGAGCCCCAGGAGCCCAGGGTTGGGAAACTCAAGAAGTTTGGAGCCATGCCTGGTGAACCTGTGGTTCCCATCCTCTGTAGCAACCCAAACTTTCCAGAAGAACTCAAGCCTCTCTGCAAGGAGCCCAACGCCCAGGAGATGCTCCAGAGGCTGGGTGAGCAGCTTCCTCTCTCGGGCGGGAATTATCTGGTGGCCCTTGAGGGGGAGACATGCTCTGATTGATGGGATTTGGAGGAAGAGCTCAGCTCTGATTGGTGGGCCTAGGGAGCTTGGCTCTGATTGGCAGGTCTGCTCTGCACCTGCTTCAATTCTAAGTTGTAAATGCTGAGGTTTGGGAATGTGGTTCTGCGAGGTGGGGGTGGTAGCCCTGCGCCCATTCATCTGGTCTTAGTTGCTTCTCTTTCTGGTGGAATCTCTGCTCTGATTGGTTGGTTTGAGCAGTCTATGAGCCCTAGTTTGGGGCAAATAGCCCAGCTGGTCAGAGTACGGGCCTGCTGGGATTCTCCTGGGGCTGGGTGGTGACATCCAAGCTCTGGGCCAAGGGCGGCAGGCGCCTCGCGAGGGAAAGCTGGTTCTCACGAGGCCCCATCTCTCTTGTGCAGAGGAAATCGCCGAGGACCCGAGCACCTGTGAGATCTGTGCCTACGCTGCCTGTACTGGATGCTAGGGCGGCTTGTCCGCTGCCTGCCTCCCCTCCCCAGCAGGGAAGCTCTTTCTCCTGAAGGAAGGGCCGCCCATGGTACTCCGCTCCCAGCAGCTCAGCCTACCCTGGCCCAGTTGGGAGGAGCAGCCCGGGAAGGGACAGGGTGACTGGAGGCTTCGCCCCAACACTGTCCTTCCCTAGAGCCACTCCAACCCCCAGCTAATAAACCAGATTCCAGAGTACTCCGGATGTTGCCTTCCTTCCTTCATCCACTAGTCTACGCTGCCCTGGAAGCTCAGGACACAATGTACTAAGTGAAGGACCCCACTCTCCCTGCTAAGCTGCTCACTGTCCCTGGTGTTGCCACCGCTCAGAGGCATGGAGGAGATCGGATCTCCAAACGACCAAGGCAGGGGGTGGTGGGAAGGGTTTGGCTTTCTTTCTCATCTCCTGAGGTCATCAAATTCACTGAGCCACATTTGAGCACAGGAGCCTGTCTGAGCTGGTCTGGAAGACCAACACAGACACTGGACCCACGAGGAGACTGGCACCAAACTCTTGGGTATTCAAGGCTCCCACCGGTTGGTGGGAGCATGGCCTCCAGCCCTGACCACATCCCAAACCACACCTCTTGCCATTTCCTCTGCTGCTGCTCACCTCTCCACTGCCCCTCTTCCCACACTACTGTCCAGGTAAACTCCGGCTCTGGCTCCAAGGCTTTCGCTCCATGGGCTCTCCTCAAGACAACTTTCTCAGTCCCCCACGAAGAGTCTCAGTGCTCCCACTGTGACCTTGACCTTGGTGCTTTCTGAGCACTTGGATCACCCACAACCCTTCCACAGCTCTGGCCACCCTCTTGTGTAATGGCATCTGTGCCTGCAGAAATCTTTCTGACATCCAGACCCATATCGATAGTTGTCTGAGGATATAAAACAGGGCAGGGTCTCAGGTGCAGCTTTTCCAAGTACTGTGTGATCTTTGGAAAGTCACCTTCCCTCTCTATGTCTCTATAAAACTGGGGCACTAATATTTCCAGCCTCCCAGGCTGGGTGAAATAATGCATGTAAAGCCCTCAGTTTAGGACTGACACAAACATAAGAGGAATTCAATAAGTGGTAAAACAAACCAAAGAAAAGGGGACCAGGATCAGGCTGAGAGTGGTTCAGACAGTGTGAGGAGTCAGGGTGTGGAAGGGAGGCCTATTAGCGAAGGTAGAGGCAGCAAGGAAAGAGGAGGCAGAACTCTCAAGGGTCCATCTTGGGGAGTGCGGTGGAGGGGATTCTCCGGGCTTCAGAATTCAAAAGGAAAGGTTTCTTCTAGTTGAGGTCAGGAAGGCTTTGTGAAAGGTAAAGGCAGGTGCATTTGCATCACCCTTCGAGATCTGCATTGGGATGCAGTGAATTTCAAAACCTGTGTGGAAGTAGGGAGAAAGAGGGAGTTGCAGAAGGTAGGAATGGTGCAGACAGACACAGAGACACTGGAATGGTTCAGTCAGGACAGTGTGGAGCTGGGAGGGCAGACAGGACTGAGTTTACGCCTTACTATGTCATTTACAAGCTGTGTGCCCCTCTCTGAGGCTTCATTTATCATCTTAAAGTGAGGATGATAACAGACCCTACCTCCCAAGTTTGGCAGGAGATTAGATGACATGTGTAGTGGAGTAGAATCATTTAATGACCTAACTCTGGAGCCACACTCTGGGTGTAAATCCTGGCTCTGCCTTTTACTGTGTGTCTTTGTGCAGGTTAGCTAGCCTGCTCCCTCCTCAGTTTTCTCATCTGTAAAAAGGGGAAGACAAGAATCCATATATCATACGGTCGAGTGAAGAGTCAATGTAAAAATACTGGAAAAATTCTTAAAACTCCACTGGTTTTGAACAACCACTGGGTCAAATAAGAAATCAAAAGGGAAATTGAAAAATAACTTGAGACAAGTGAAAATGGCAATACAACATACAAAAGCTTATGGCATGCAGCAAAAGCAGTTCAAAGAGGGACATTTATAGCAATAAATGCCTACATCAAAAAAGAAAAAAGATTTTATATAAACAACCTGTTGTTACATCTCAAGGAACTAGAAAAAGAAGAACAAACTAAGCCCAAAGTTAAGGAAAGAAAAGATCGGAACAGAAATAACTGAAATACATACCAGAAAAACGATAGAAAACATCAACAAAACTAAGAGTTGGGTTTTTGAAAAAATAAAATTGCAAAACTATTAGCTAGGATAAGAAAAAGGGAGAAGATTCAAAAGCATTGAAAGCTATCCCTTTAAGATCAGGAACAAGACAAGGGTGCACATTCTTGCCACTTTTATTCAACATAGTTCTGTACTGAAAGTCCTAACCAGAGCAATTAGGAAAGAAAAAGAAACAAAAAAGCACCCAACTTGGATGAAAGGAAGAAGTTAAATTGTCTCCATTTGCAAATGATATAATTTATATATAGAAAACTTTAAAGACTCTACTAAAAAGCTATTAGCACTAATAAGCAAATTTAGTAAAGCTGCAGATTACAAAATCAACATACAAAAATCAGTAGCATTTCTATAATTAACAATGAATGATCTGAAAAATTAAGAAAACAATTTAAACAGCAACAACAACAACAACAACAATCATCTTAGGAATAAATTTAGCCAATGATGTGAAAGAATCACACACTAGAAAACATAAATCTATGATGAAAGAAATTAAGGAAGATGCAAATAAATGGAAACATATTCCATGTTAATGGATTGGAAGAATTAATATTTTTTAAATGTTTATGCTTTCCAGAATGATCCACAGATTCAATACAATTCCTATCAAAATTCCAATTACATTTTTTCACGGAAATAGAAAAAACAATCCTAAAATGCATAGGGAACCACAGAATACCCCAAATACCCAAAGCAATCCTGAGCAAAAAAGAAAAAGCTGGAAGCATCACACTACCTGATCTCAAAATCTGCTACAGAGCTGTAGTAATTAAAACAGCACAGTACCGGTACATGCAGTACTGGAACAAAACAGACATAGAGACTAATGGAACGGAATACAGAGAGGACAGAAATAAATCTACACATTTACAGTCTGATCTTCGAAAAAAGTGCCAAGATCACACTATGGGGAAAGGACAATCTCTTCAATAAATGGTATTGGGACACGCAGAAAAATGAAATTAGACACTTATCGCACCTCATGCACAAAAATTAACCCAAAATGGATTAAAATCTTAAACTTAAGACCTGAAACTGTAAAACTACTAAAAAAAACCTAGCAGCAGTGGTCCCTGAAGTCCCAGCTGCTCGGAAGCTTGGGGCAGGAGGATCACTGGAGCCCAGGAATTCAAGGCTAGTCAACACAGCAGAGTGAGACATTGCCAAAAAAAAAACAAAAAAAAAAAAAACAAAAAAAAAACCCAAAACAAAATAATGACAACAACAAGAAAAATGTGCTAGAGGAAACATAGGAGAAAAGCTTCTTGACATTGGCCTTGGCAACGATTTCTTGCCTCTGATCCCAAAACCACAGGGAACAAAACCGAAAATAGACAAAAAGGAGTGCATCAAAGTAAACTGCTTCTGCACAGGTATGGAATGAAAAGTATCTATGGAATGAGACAAAATATTTCGAACTAAACATATGCTAGTGGATTAATATCCAAAATATATATAGAATTCAAGCAACTTAATAGCAAGAAAACAACCCAATTTAAAAACAGGCAAAGGAACTAAATGGACATTTTTCTTTTCTTTTCTTTTCTTCTTTTTGAGACAGAGTCTCCCTCTGTCACCCAGACTGGAGTGCAATGGCAGGATCTTGGCTCACTGCAACCCCACGCTCCCGGGTTCAATGGATTCTCCTGCCTCAGCCTCCTGCATAGCTGGGATTACCGGCATGCACCACCACGTCTGGCTAATTTTTGTATTTTTAGTAGAGATGAGATTTCACCATGTTGGTCAAGCTGGTCCAGAACTCCTGACCTCAGGTAATCCACCTGTCTTGGCCTCCCAAAGTGCTGGGATTACAGGTGTGAGCCACCGTGCCTGGTGACATTTTTTAAAAGAAGACATACAAAAGGCCAGGAGGTGTATGCGAAGGTGCTCAGCATCACCAATCAATAGGGGAAGGCAAATTAAACTCATGAGGCGATATCACCTCACATCTGTAAGAAGGACTTCTGTCAAAAAAAAAAAAAAAAAGATGCTTGCTGGGCATGGTGGCACCCACCTGTAGGTAATCCTAGCTACTTCAGAGGCTGAGAAAGGAGGATCACTTGAGCCTGGGAGTTTGAGACCAACATGGGCAACACAGCAAAATCCTATCTGTAATAAACAAAAACAGACAAACACTAGCAAAAAGAAAAGATGACAAGTGTTGGCAAAAATGTGGAGAAAATGGAACTCTCACACACTGTTCGTGGGAATATAATTTAGCATAGCCATTATGGAAAACAGTATGAAGATTCCTCAAAAAAGCAAAAATAGAAATGCCACACAATCCAGCAATCCCACTTCTGGACATACAGCCAAAAGAAAGGAAATCAGTATGTCAAAGAAATATCTACACTGTGGTATTCACAATGGTCAAGATATAGAGTGAACCTAAGTGTCCATCAGCAAATGAATAAAGGATATGTGATATATATACACACAGTGGAATAATATTCAGCCTTAAAAAAAAAATCCTGTCGTCTGTGACGAAGTGGATGAAACCGGGGGACATGATGCTAAGTGAAATAACCCAGGCACAGAGTGACAAATACTACATGATCTCACTTAAATGTGGAATCTAAAAAAGTTGAACTCATAGAAGTAGAGTAGAATAGTGGTTACCAGGGGCTGGGGGTGGAGAGGAAATGGGGAGATGGTAAACAAAGAAAGAAGGAAAAGGAAAAGCTCTGCCAGACCCACAGCGAGCAGCTTGTCAATGCCGCTGTCATTACTGCTTCTGGGCAGCAGCGCAGCCGTGTGGCTGGCACGTGGTAGGGACTCAGTCAGCGGCAGTTCTCTTTGCTGTCTCCAGCAGGCAAGTGGGAATCCAGCGTAGCTGCAGGAGCAGTGGGAGATGAGTCCAGATAGTGCATGAGCTCAGGTTAGACTTGGTAGATGGCAGTGGGGAGCCATGGAGGAGTAGGGGCACCATCAGGGTGGTGCTGCCATGCTCCTCCCGCATGGTGGGCGTGGAGGGTCCACAGGATGCAGGACCAGGAAGGAAGCTCTGGCCTGGCCCAAGGGCAGTGTGATAGAGGCCCCAGTG